CATTAATTTTATTTTTAAGGGAACTGGCAGAAATCATTTTAGAGAACGCAGCGCTGTTGCCCCACCAACTTCTAACATGGAAAGGAAGACTTCCGACCGCATTCATCACAATGAGGAGCTTCTGCTGGAAGACCAAACGACGCCCTCTTCCTCCTCTTCATGGCGTCTTAGAGTCGACAGCTTCCGTCTTCCCTCTCAGTCCGATAGGCATGTTGATAGTCGTGCTACATTCTCTCGTCTTCTCTGCACTCCAAGTACATTCTCTCTCTCTCTCTCTCTCTCTCTCTCTCTCTCTCTCTCTCTCCCTCTCTCTCTCTCTCCATATTTGCACATACACTATATCATACTCTGTAATAAACAGAGCAGTGAATTGGAAGTGAAGAAACCGTTAGGATTTCTTTTGGGTTTATGTTTGTTGCTTCCGCTCTTTTGCTTTCTGAAGAAATCACTCTGTCTCTGTAATTTTCTTTCTATGACTATTTCTTCTAAGGAACTAACCAAATACTTATTTGTTTTCCTGGGAAACAAGTAAAGGTTTTCGAAATGTTTGTAGGCTCTTTGTTTAAATTAGAACCGGAAAGGAAGCCCCTTCGGTATGTTTGAATTGCTCTTTGAAGTATATTCTTGCCATTTGCGTACTCCTGTTTTCTACTTTTCCTGTTATCCAAACAGAGTCTCAACTGAATTTTAGTCGTCGTGCTGCTTATTCCCATATCTGGATTCTTTCTCGTTCTTTGATGCTTGGTTATCTCCCTAGTTTCTATGTAATTAATGTTCTTGTTCTTCCTTGTTTGTCTTTGTTCTAACACATCCAAACGGAGAATTAAAGAGAATAACATGACAAATATTGAAATATATATTGTTATTCTTGGAATTTAAAGTATCATTCAAGGAATATTTTCCACTAAAGAAAATACACAAAGAGACAATTGATGAAAGCAATGCATTTTATATTCCTCTTGTTTTGATTGTGGTCAGTATTTTTTGCAAGATTTCTGGTTGCCTATAATAGAGTATTTATTTTCTCGTAAATATTGAAAGGGTGGTGGTGCCAAGCACTCACAAATTAAATAGTTTAAATTTGCTCTAAACTTGTATCAGGCAAATCTCACCTCGCATTTGTGGATGCTATAACTCATAGAGCTCGGCACAATAAGGCAAAAATTATTTATCAGGAAAAAGTTTATTAAAAAGTTTTGCAACCTGTTGTGATAAAGTATTGTGTACTTTAGAAAGTTTTGGACATTAATTCAAAGTGCTATATTTTAAAATATAAAAGAAAGTGGTGTTTTCTCTTTTGTCGTAATAGTCCACAATACACATAAAAAATAAGTATTCTTTAATAAGGAAGGGAACAGACATGAGAAAATATCATGAGGAAAGTGCAGCAGTGGGTTGAAATAGTGCTGCCATTTTTACTACTTTAGAATGTGAAATTTCTTTACACAAGATTGGAGCAGTTGTCATGGAAAAGCCCTTTTGTGTTATAAATATTTTAGGGTGAATACTTGGTTAAAAATTGTTTCTGTTGCATGCAAGATATATGTCTCGAGAAATTGCATTGAAAATGAGTTTATGCTTCCATGCTTCAGTCTCTTGATGCAAGGTTTCTTAACTATCATTCTGACAAAATCCATGGCCAGTTAATTTGTAGTTTAGCGATAATAAAGTGTTCTGATCTTTGAAGTTTATAAGGAGAGTACATTTTTTTTCACTTTATAAACATTCAGCTTTTTTTATAATTCTCGGAATTACAAAGGCCGAGCTCTATAAGCTTGACGTCACCATATTGTATAGAATCGAAAGTTTTGATCTTAATTAATTTTTCATGTTTAGTACCGTAGTATACTGACTTGAGATCTTGAAACTTTTTTTTTGCCCTTTTTATACTTTGTGGTTATAAAAGCACCTTTGGACTTTGTTTCGCCTAACCATTTAATGTTGAGTTTGTTGTCTTATTTCTTATATATTATCAAAATAATGGCTCAAAAGCACCATTAATTATTCTAATAAATACTTTGATATTTGTAGAAACTATCTCCAGGTCAATAATCTTTTTCAGAATTGGACCATTTAGGGCACAAATTAAATTTGTTTCTTTGTTTATCTAAGATCTATAAACCTGTTTGTTCTTGACATTATTAAGAGAGCTGTTCATCAAGTTCTATATGGAGCCCATTTGGTAGATAGCTGCAACGTTTTACTTGTGGTATTTCTTTCTTATATGAAGAAATATTATTTGCATATCTGCTGAGTATCTGTTCCTATGTGAAATATTTGTTAGTTGTTGCCCGATAATACTATTGGTTCGAGTATGTAGCTCTTCCTCTTAAGGGCATACTCTTAGTGATGCAGATGCTGAATCAAACTTCCCGACTGTTTCTTATGAATTAAGCACGGTGTTGAAGCTTGTCTTTAATGTTCAATGATATTTATGTCATGGAGAAAATGGAGACAATGGCAATCTGTTGTCTCTCTTGGAGACAATCTTTTCTTTATGATGATCAACTTATCATATATTAATTGAAAGTTCTACTCTTACAAAAGTTCTTTTTTCCCTTCTGCAACACCTAGCTTCCTTATATGTAAGTTGCCTATTAGATATTTCCTTCATGCAAGTTTATTTATTATTATGTATCCAATAAGATCATCTCGAAGACATTCTCTGTCATTTACATATTCCCTTTAATTTTTCTCTTGATTAAGATTACTTGGGTTTTCCAATATCCAAGTTTATCTTTGCATTTCATATCTTCTGTTCAGCCATGACATATGCCCTTCGTTCATGCATAAATGTGAATTATATTAACTCCATTCTGAATGCGGCTTGCTTCTGTTAACAACATTAGAGAAACAAAATAAGGTTCTTGAGTATTATAAGAAGCAAGAAAGACTCCTTGAAGCGTTTAATGAGATGGAAGCCATCAACGAAACTGGTGGTATACCAGGAAGCTTAACAGAGGTTGGTTCTACTTTTCATTGAGTTAATTACTCGGTGCTTTTCTACATCCATATCATGTCTCTTCAGAGAAAAGGAATTATTCTAGTCTAAAAATCTTCTCCCAACAGGATGAAATGAAGCAACTTGCAAGGAGTGAGAGAATGGCAGTTAATGTATCAAATATGGCAAATCTGCTGCTTTTTGCTGCGAAGGTTTATGCTTCAATTGAGAGTAGATCCTTGGCTGTTATTGCTTCAACCATGGACTCTCTCTTGGACCTCTTATCAGGTTTCATCTTGTGGTTCACAGCTCACGCCATGAAGAACCCAAATCATTATTATTATCCGATTGGTAAAAAGCGGATGCAACCAGTGGTGCGTCATCCCACTCTACTTTATAATATAGGACTGGGATTTAGAGAGAGAGGAAAATTAAAGAACATAAAAGATAAATCCAATTCACAATCAAAAATTTATCAAGCTCTCTTAACTTTCACAAACTGAATAGAGTGTACATACCTTTTGATTTCCTGACAAGGACAACGAGAAATCGTGTCTTTTTCTCCCCCTGTGAACTTTAGTTCTTAAATATCAATATTTTTTCCCTTGATAATTCATGCAGGGTATAATTGTCTTTGCATCAGTGATGGCAACTCTTGGACTCCAAATACTGCTCGAGTCTGTCAGACAGCTAATTTCAAATGTAAGTTTCAAAGAATTCATTCAACCTAACCAGAAAACAGAGTGGTAGTAGTAGGGCGCTCAGGTTCATTGCCAGCCCAGGCTCTTGTTCAAACTAAACTGCGTCACTGAATTTAAGAACCTCAGTGTCTTTCGATCATGGGGGAGTGGATGTTGCATATGGCAATCTGTTCAAATCTATGAAGCATACATTTCGTTTCAATTGCTACTAGTATTGCTTTTCATTTCTCTTCTTTGATCTTTTTCTTCTATGATAATATTTGGTTCAGACTGGACTTCACATGAGCAGCCGTGAGGAAAAATGGATGATTGGAATCATGGTTTCTGTTACTATTGTGAAGTTTTGCCTTATGGTTTACTGTCAAAGATTCAGAAATGAAATTGTTAAAGCCTATGCTCAAGATCACTTCTTCGATGTTATTACTAATTCAGTTGGGTTAGTAACAGCTGTTTTGGCCGTCAAGTTTTCCCGGTGGATCGACCCTACTGGTGCTATTATTGTGAGTTGGCAACTCTTACCAACTTTGTTTACCTATGCACAGTAAATTGCTCTTCCTTACCCTGCTCTTAGTCCTTAATTCCCTTAATTTCGTCTATCTATAATGCAGATAGCAGTATATACAATGAGTACATGGGCAAGGACTGTGCTCGAGAATGTAAGGTCACTGATTGGAAGAACAGCTCCACCGGATTTTCTAAATAAGTTAACATATCTGATATGGAACCACCATCAAGAGATCAAGCATATCGACACAGTGAGAGGCTACACTTTTGGATCTTATTACTTTGTGGAGGTTGACATAGTTTTACCAGAAGATATGCCTCTGCATAAAGCACATAATATTGGGGAGACACTTCAAGAGAAGCTCGAACAACTTCCTGAAGTTGAAAGAGCTTTCGTACATATCGATTTTGAGTTCACACATAGGCCTGAACACAAGAGCAAGGTATAGCTATAGCTTTTCGTCGTATCAATAAGCCACTTGACTTCTCTTTCTATGTCTTTGCAAAAGTACATTGTCATGTTTGCTGAGTAATATAAAGGATGGACGTCGACATAAATATGGTCCTTCTCCCTCCCTGGGTTACACAACCAAATGTGGTTGTATTATACATGTCGGGTATGTATTAAAATTAAAGGAAAATCTGTTGTATTATGTATTTGTATTATGATATGTTTTTTTTTTTTTTTTTGTTCTGGGAAATGTATACAGATTTTTGAATAATTCTGGTCACACGGATATTTCAAATTTGTGAATGATATGAATATTAATAGATTGAACTAGTCTAAATATTTGAACTAATTTTATTGATGAGTCTGTCTCTCCTTGTACTAATGATGAGTGGTGCATGGTGGTGTATTAAGCTAAATTGTTACATATTTTCAATATTTTAAAGGGCATGTGATAAAATTAAATATATTTAAATTAAGTTAATCAATCTGTCATGAGCATAGTTGATGGTATATATTATTTTGTTTATTATGTACTTATTGAATATCAATAGAAATAAACAGTAATTTTGAGCAAACCTTGCAGATTCATATACTAACATTAATATTTAATATTCACTGTGAATCGTCGAAAAATTTGGTTTATTTCATGGTCATAAACTTTGATGTATATTTGAGATTTAATTTGATTGTTAAAGGTTATACATAATTGCTCAGTTACTGATAACACGTGCTTTCTGAACACATTTATTTATTTCTTTGAACTAATTCAAGATTTATTTTTTAATATATTAAGTTTTATCATCATAAAATAAAAAAGAAATATTTGTTGGAGTAAATATTGTACTGATAATGTTTGATGAGCTGATACAAGATTTGAATAGAACTACAAGCTTGAAACAAAAAAAACATCAAAAAGAAGACATGTTACATACATAGCAAATCAAGCTTCAAGTGTCAGAGAGAAAAATGTATATTTTTATAAACTTAGTTGGAGCTTTGGAATATTTAATTTAGTCCAAAAGAAACAGAAATTAAAGATGGAAATTTTTTTCTTTCATTTATATTGTAATTTTTTTTTTATAAATTAGCTCAAACATAAAGTTTTAAAGAACCTAAAATATATACTTAAAATCCTTGAAATATTTTTAAATAATTTGATGGCTCAAAAAAAACAAAAAATACATATTTGAGAAGAATTTTAATATTGACAAAATCACAATTCTATCAATATTATCCTACCATTCATGATGAATAATTATTACATTCTAGTTGTTCTCTCAGCAAACCAAACATGCCATTGAATTCATTCATTGTGCTTTACCATGTGCTGTAATACACA